CCCCCCTGTAGTATTTACTTCATCACAGAATATTTTTTTAGCAGAAGTATATCCCATATTTATGGACATCACAAAAATGTTAATCTATATTGCAGGTTTTCAGGGTGAATTAATAAGATGGAGACGTTTTCAGAAAACCTTTTTTGTTGATATGGATATTTTGTTAAATTATAACCATAATGATTTCTGAAATATAATTTTGTGCCTTGATTCCAGTAACAGGTGGATGTAAAGGAAGGACATTATCATTGTGAACCTTTGTAATTCATCCTTTACATAAAAATCAAGTACATTTTCTTTTACATTTTCTTTACATTTTCTTTTTTAAAAATGCATTGAATTGTCTTGGATGTTTTCAAGAAGCTCCATAACTGTGTTATAGTTGTGAATTAATTTATTATAAAGATCTGCGTGTGTTAGGGAGGAAGGGATCACTGTTACAGCATGTTATATAATTCATAATTAGTATTAAAAAACGCATGCAAATTCACAAATAATGCCCTTGTTGTTTTCCCTTTTTTCTGTTCCTATTTTTTTCTTCTTTTTTAAACAACTAAGTGTGTTGCTTATAACATAAATATCCCAAATAATACCAAATGCATTCATTTATCAATTATAATAAGATTTTGCTTATATTTTACATAATGAGCTCAAACAAATAAACACGTCCTAATATATGAGCAGCGTTTAGATCTGCGCATGCGCCTATGAAAGTCTGAAAGTCAAAAGAAAAACTTTCCCTTCCCCACACACGAGCTCATTGCCACTTTTAATCACGTCAGCGCGAGGAGCACCTGGATCTTGGTGCGGTATACAACACCACGCCATAAAACAAGACAGAAAGGTGAGGAAATACAAACTAATTAACTCTTCCGATGAATGGAACTGAAAATAAATCATACCAAAGGCCGTTGGAAAGCTTAGGATAACGTTTAAACTGTTGATGCGGTTCCATCGTTAAAACGTAAAAAGTAAAACGTGTAGCCGTTTTGTTGATTCGTTGGTCTTTTAGTCTTGCGTTATTGCTTTAATTTAACTTAAGGTTAATTAGACGCATTAAAATACAAGTCTTGTATTATTATCGGTAAAGTAACATACAGGTTTATTTTTCAAACACAGTAAATATAATATAGAATGGTGAATCAAATTGTCCATTGATGTGCTTATGAGGAGATGTTTGTGTGTATAACTGGCCCAAGTCAAGATGAAAGTATGGAAGTTCCGACTATGGTGCTCATGGTCACTTGCTGTCTGCTCTCAATTAGTTTGGGATTTTCTGTCAACTACCTAATTAAGTTACCAAGAAAGTGAATTAGGTTTAGTGTGGGTATTTGAATTAATGCTTATGGGAATTTCTGTTTAAGATGCCCTAAAATGCGAGAGTGATCTTCTTTATGGTTTAGGAATAATCCTGAGAAAATTTCACCCAGCATATTATAACCAAGAATAAACAGGAAAACAAAAGCTGATTTCATTGAAAGTAAATGAGTATTTGGGTTTTGTGTAGCATGTGAATGATTTATTGTTTTAAAATTTGATATTTACGGTTCCCAGTTGGGAATAGTTTCCTTGCTCAATAGTGTTAATTACTTGCAGTATATAGTGAAATGTTTGATTTAAAGTGGATTCTTCAATGGTTGCATTATTGAGATTTTAATGAAAGATAAAACTGTAAACATGCTTGTGGATATTGAAGGTTTTTGGCTAGAAATACTCTGTGCTCTACAAAATATTAGAAAGCAAATCATTTTGGATATGTACCTCAATAATGGTAAAAAAATAATCGAGAATGGGAAAAGTTATGTGACACCAAACAGGCTATATTTTATTTTCATTGTTAATCACCTTCGATGGATTAAAAGGTTGATGTGTATACTGTATGTTTTAATGCTCTTCTTCTAATCTTTTTATTCTACATTTTGTTGATGTATCCTTTCAGTAGCAAAGTTATCATTAAAAATATATTTTAATATAAAATAATGTTTTTTAAAGCACTCAAAACATGCTTGCTTCTTTTTTAGTGAAATCTCTGAGATGGATAACACAAGCTTTGAGAAAAGGGTCAGTGTTCTCTTTTTTTCTTCTTTGCAATTTGTCTGTAACATTACATTTGTGACTGATTTTTAATTTTAATAGATGTTGATATTTTTTTAGAACAAGGAAAATTCCTAGCCTTACAGTCACTGTATCATGTCTTCAATCTGGAATTTTTAAAGAGGAAACTGAAGACATAATTACTTCAGTGGCAGTTAATACTACAATGTTTCACTTTCATTTGTTTGTCAAATTTAAAGCTAGCCTGTTTTAAATAAAACCCAAGTTTTGCGATGTATTCATAAACAAAGTATGTATTTTTATGAATGACTTGCAGAAAGGTTAGTTAGTTACCTTATTTATCCTGAAGGAAATTTCAGAACCCAGCAGCTTAACTTTTTAACAGGCATCATAACCACCTGGTTGACCTTTTATCCTTTGGTTATCATTATTATTTTAATAACTCATTACTATTTATCAGAGTTGAGTCAGCATATTATTCAATACAAGATGTGGGCCAAAAAATATTTTCAAGGAGTGCCCCTTTTAAGCTATACACACAAAAATAGAAATGTGGAAATACAAACATTCTACAATTAAAGCTTGTCTACTAAATGATAAAAAAAATATAAGCTTAAGCTTAATAGACAAGTAACAAAAGAATAATATATAGGTAAATAAATAGAGGATGTAAATATAAACATACATCTCCAATGCATTTTAATCAGTTAAGCAGGATATAGGACGAGGGTTATGGCCATCTTGCGTGCAGTATTCAATGTCATTTCTGTTCTCCGTAGAGCACGCTAATGACAAGAGTTTGCCAGAGCAGTTGTAAAGCTTGTGCATTGTTTGTTTTTAGGGAAGTGTTTTATTTGACCTCATTTTGGTTTGTTAGATGTGATGCAAGAAAATATGTTTATTTGAGAAATTCCAAACATGCGTCACAAACTAGTGCCACATACTCCCCAAAATCCAATTAGTGTGGATGAAAGGGCATAGTCTGCATCAGTCTTAAAATTGGGTAAAACTGTAACTAATAATTAGGGAAAAAAGTACAAGGCCACTTTCTGCTGAGTCATTTCCTTGCCTAATTTGAAACGCTTCACTGATCATAAACACATTTTCACTGGCTGATGTTCTTTTACTGCAGGAGTTTATAAGTGTCTGGGTACGGGATCCTCAGGTTCACAAGGAGGATTTCTGGCACACGTACATCAGCTATGAGATCTGCCTTCACGTGAGTGCAGTATCCTCGTTGCCCTCATGTTTTTGCAGCTTTGTTTTCTCCGCTTTAACCAGTAGAAACATGAGATTCACAATACTGTTCTTGCTTCTAGACCAATAGTATGTGTTTCCGTAAGAAGACCTCTTGTGTGAGGAGAAGGTATAGTGAGTTTGTTTGGCTGCGTCATAAACTACAAGACAATGCTTTGCTCATGTAAGTGGATAAAACACACTCTGACCAATACAATATTCAATGCTGGGTAGATTACTTGAAGTCAGTTACATAATGAATTTTGCCATTAGTAACATGATATGAATTGTGCATTGTACTACTTTTTGAGTATTTTTATATTAATAACTTGTTTGATATAAATTTAATTTTAAAGTGAAAGTTCACCCAAAAGTTTTATTTTACTCCCACTCAAGTGGATCGAAACTATGATTTATATTCTCCTGTTGAACACAAAACAAGATATTTTTAATAATGTTAGAAAAAAATCTGCCATTGACATTAGTTGTAGGATTTTTTGTCATTGTGTTGAACAGAAGAAAGAAACATGTTTGGAACAATTAGAAAAAATGTAAATGATGAACATTTAAATACAGCCCTAATGTATTGTTTTGGATGTTTTCAACCAATCTGGGGTGATTTGACTCTTAATTTGGCTATAATGTTTTCTGTGTTTCAGCTAGCTGAATGATTTTTGCTTTGATTTTTTTATTTTATTTTTTGAAACTCAACAATACACTCTGGGCAAATTTACTACCATTTTATCATGTAAGGGATAAAATGTCCACTAAATTAAACTGCTGTAAAAATGCATCAGATAAATAGTCTTTTTTGCATACATTTGTTAATCAACCTCAGTCCTAATAAAAACTATTAAATTGCTTAGAAAATTACAGGACTCATTAATTGCCAAATCCGTAAATGATATCACTGTTTTGGTGGGGAAAAACACACAAATTGATGTAATTTCAATATAAAATAATTGTGAACTGGATTTTTTTTTTACTTTTTATCAAAGTCTTGGACATATACACAACATTGTTTTTGATGCATTGTTTTTGATTGATTTTCATTTTTCCTTCTAAATTTAAGGTTGGTGGCTGTTTTTGCCCAATTAATTTCTATTGAAAATACCTAATATTGTGTTTTCACCAAATCAGTGACATCATTTGTGAACTTGGCAATTAAAGAGGTTTTTTTTTAAATGTAAAAAAACCCAAACATTTAGTTGTTTTAATCAGGACTGAGATCGGTTAACAGATTTATGCAAAACAATATTTTTCTGCATTTTTGCAGCAGTTTAAATCAGTGGATGTTTTCCCTTACATAACAAAAGGGTAGTAAATTTTAACAGTGTACAAGGGTTAAATAGTAAATCACTTCAACACTAAAATATTCGATTTATGTCACCACCAGATGGGCATTTCATTTTTGAAATATAAATAAAAATGCATTGTTAAAATAAATATTTTGGGGTTCCCTCAACAAAAAAGGTTGCGAGTCATATTTTTTTGTACAAAGAAACAATTGCAAAAAGTATTTTCAGGATAAATAATGGAAGAATGTAAAATGTAACTAATCTGAATGTATTAAATGATATAAACTAATTGCATATAATGAATAAATAAAAAAAACTTTTTTTAATGACGTAGATGCATAGATTCAATGAAACTGGTTACAACCTAGTACTAATATTTACCACAAGAAAAATTGCATGCCAATATCTTGTTATTAGGATCTTTATTTCAAATCACTACATGCATAAATGTTTAATAAAAGTCTTATGAAAATTAGTGTAATCAGTTTTTTTTTAATGTGTTTGTTTCTGTAGAGAATTGCCTAAACTTCCTCCTTGGAACCCTTTCTTTAATCTCAACAATGAATTCCACATCACACAACGGATGCAGGGGCTGCAGCAGTTTCTTGAGGCGTGAGTATTGTTGGCTAAAATTAAAAATATGAAATGAAAATTGTTATTAATTACTTTCCATCATGTCGTTCTAATCCCCTGAGACCTTCGTTCATTTTCAGAACCCAAATTAAGATATTCTAGATTAAATCTGACAGCTCCCCCATCCTTCTTATACAGCAACTGTCCTAACATGTCCTATCTAGAAAAGGTCTAGAAAAGGTGTCAAAAACATTCCATGTGACTTCAGTGGGTAATCATACAAATCTTCAAAAGCACTTTTGTGCAAAAAGTAAACACTACTCTGTTTGTCTGTATCTTTTCTTATGTGTCAGGTCAGGGTGCGTGTTTACTAGAGGTAGTATGACGCATTGCCATTAGAGTCAGCAGCACAACATGCAAGAGTTCAACTGCTAGTAGTAAACACGCACCCTGCTCAATTGCGCAAGACATGGGTGAACAAAGTTTTTATTTATTATTATTATTTTTTGTTTATTTTTTATTGCAGAGAGAAACAATTCACAGCATCATTAGACATATGTCACTTTTCCAGCTTAAATTGCCCAATCAGGGATCAAAGAGGAAACACAAATTTAATCTTGACAGCGACAGAACAACATATCCCTTTGGCTTATTTTACACCATCCTTATCAAATCTTTATACAAAAGAAAAAAAAGGGGGGGGCGTACAACAAGAATATATATTTGTTTTTAATTTTCAAGAAATCTATAGACTGCATACCCAAATAAAGTACAAAGCTGAAATCAAAAGAAGCATTTAAAATATTTTCTAAAATGCTATAAACCCCTCTTCAAAAACTTCTAATATGAAGACATCCCCAAAATATATGAAAATGGTTGGCGTTCTGGGATCCGTAACGCCTCCAACTATTTGAGTTCACATCAAATTACATTTTCTGTTTTGGAGTAAAAAACTAATATTTTTCTAGCAAAATAATCTCTAATATAAAGAACAGGAAATAGCTCATTTTAATTTATATATATTTAGCCGAACCTCATTTGAGATGATGATACCACTTTCTCCCATCTTTCTTTAATCTACAGAAATGAGTCCCTTTGTAGATCCATCAATGATTTATATAATTGAGTTATAGTTGACAATGGTTCAGCCGTGTAAGCTGAGGAGAATAATTTAAATAAAGCTCTCTTAATTGAATCACCAACAGTGTCTTTTTTTATGTTTTCATGGCAATGTTGCTGGAGCTGAAGGTATTTAAAGAAGTCTTTGGAGTATAAGTTTAAATTTTCTTTTATTGTATTAAAATCTAATAAATGTAATTTATTCATAATTGAACAATACATTATTCCTTTCTTAGTCCATATTTTAAAATGCATACCAAAAGTATTTGGTTTAAAGTCTGAGTCATATGAAGCCCACTTCAACCTTTAAAGAATCTGTTAGATTTTATTCCTTAATGATCAATTTTTTTTTTAAGGTTACCTACATCCATTGATTTATATTGTTTTTTTTTTTTTTAAGTTTTGATCTAATTTATTTTTTTTCACACAGGTTTTGTTTTGGCAATGTTTTTTGTTAGATTATCTGAACTTTTGAATGTCTCAAGATCCTATGGAGGATAAGGGGGCTCTCAGATTTTATCAAAAATATTTTAATTGTGTTCTGATGATAAACAAAGGTCTTAGGGGATTGGAACAACATAAGGATTTAGTACAATAGTAAGGATTTCAAAGTGACTAAGGGATTTCCAAAGTACTAACAGAATAAAAAATTAGCTGAACTAATACTTCCAAAAACCAAAAACTTAAATGTAACATTAAAAATCAGTAAAATGAAGGTGGAAATGTATAAAAAAAACAAAAACAAACTTGTTTTAGTTAGATACCAGGAAAATAATTCTCTTATTTTAATTTAGCTTGATTAATCAGTTTATTACTACATAGTTTAACCTGAGGTAAAAAGAATGAAAAGAAAACTAAAATGAATATTCATAAGTTATATAAACGCATTTAATAAAATGTATAACTGACAATTCCAATTATATTCAAGTAAAATAAAATGGAAAATAAAAAACTGTTCTGTAGATTAGAAACGATGTGCAAGACAAGTTTATTTATATAGCACATTTCATACACAGTGGCAATTCAAAGTGCTTTACATAAACAGGAATAAAAAGACAAGTATGAATAAAGTAAAAACAAATAATATAAAAACAGCGTAAATACAGTTTTTCCATTTTTCAAAACACCGGTGTATAATATTGTCTCATTTTACTCCGGGACTTCCTTATTCTGGTGATCACCCCTCTTTGGACTTCTTCTGTACCTATAAGACGTCTCCAGCAGATTCTATTTTTTTTAGCTAAAATTGAAAAGTTGAGCTTTACAGCTCTAATTACGTGCCCCTCAATTTCAACTTCCTTCTGGAAATCGCATGGCCCCTGATTACCACCATCTCGTGGAAGTAGATCGCTTTAGTTAGCCAAATGTAATAAAAGGTCTTGATCTCAGCCAGTGGTTTAAAAGAGTAAACAAAGTAATGCGAATAATAAATAAATTAATTAACAAATACATTTTTAACGACATGCGTAGATGCATAAAATCAGTGCATTTGGTTACAACCGATTAATTGTTACATTTTTTAATAAGAAAAATTGCATGCCAATTTATTTTATTAAGGTCTTTTATTTCAAATCACTGCATGTATAAATGTTTTTTGAAAGTAATTTATAATTGCTTAGTAATTAATCACTTAATTTTTTTTCTTGATAAGACATTGCAGTATTTTTGCCATCTAGTGGCTGCTGTGCAATGAGAGACAGTCCAATTCTTTGCAAAGCAGTTTTGTTTACACAGGAATATCTTTTAAAAAAAGTGTTTTATAAGTCTTCTTAACCACACTTTTAAAATTTAAATTCTTGTTTTAAAGCCACATTATATATTTTCACTTCTTTAATGTGATAGATTCCCCAAAGATGAACATTTCCTTACAGTGGAATAAACCGCCAACTTATCCAGCTTATGTTTTACGCAACAGAACCCATCACTCATTCAAACTCGTACACTAAGGACAATTTAGCTTACCTAATTCACCTATAATA